AAGCTGTTTTACTAAGGAAAGACCAGCTCCCAACGGTGCAAGTTGGGATAAAAGTCTCTTGGGGGACATTTAGGAAGGTGTGAAAATCCTGATAGCTATTTTGATACATGAAGGGGTTTATTTGCTGTCATACATAAGCCAGAGTTTCCATCGCTTCTCCTCGGATGGAAGAGTTTGCCTCTTGACCAGCTCCTTTCCCTGGACAGGTTCCCCAAGCCCTCTCCACATGGTTTTCAATCCTGACCTGGTTCCCAGGATCCCTGGATGCCAGCCCTGTCCCCAGTTTGGCCATACTGGACAGCCACTGCCTGTGATGGGGCTCAGCCTTGGGAACATGGAGCAATGCACAAGGTCTGGAAACGTGGCTCTGTGTCCTGCAGAGGAGCCCCCGATGACTGGCCCTTGACTTTCATGGCAATTTCTTCCAGAAGGGGAAGAAATGACGTGTTAAAAATGACACAACCCTCCCTCATCTTCCTGGGGGTTGTGAGCGGGGTGATGCCCTGGGCATGGTCCTCACAGTCTTTCACAAGGAGATGCTGTAGTGGCTGTGGAGCAGCTCTGAATACGGGCCCTACCCACGCAGAGCAATGCACAGCAGGCTACCGGAGTGCGTCTGCCCCTGCCCGTACCTGGGGGAAGGAGCCAGGCACCAGCACCATCCATCCTTCCATGGATCAAGGGTTTGCTTTGGGACTGAGAAATGTAAGAAAACTTTGTACATTTTGCACAATGTGGATGCTGGCTTTATTCATAACTGAAATAAATTAGTGAAGTGTGGGTCCTCAGTGAATACTGATGTGTCCCAGCATTCCCAGGCTGTCCCACTGTGCCCAGTGCCAGCAGGTGAGCGAGGTGTGACATGGTTGCTGTCCCTGTCTGCATGGTGGGGCGAGGGTCTGAGCAGAACCTGCACAGCTGCGTGCACTGGACGTGCATGCAGAAGCAGCGGGATGAGTTGACCTTCAGAGGTCCCTTCCAACCATATTTTGTGAAGTCTCTGGCAGATAAACACTCCAGCAAACTAGAAACGTGGAATGTGATGCTAAGGATGTGTTTGGTGGGGAAAGGAGGAGAGTCCAGGACAGGACAGGTCAGGAGCAACAGGAGGAGCAACAGGCATCCTGCAGTCGTGATGCGGGTGGCAGTGATGGGAAAGGCAAATATCGAAACGGGGTACGTAAAGGGGGGTGCAGCGTGCAGGGCTTGTGAGCTCAGCCCTCAGTGCTGGGGAGGTTGCAGCTTGACCAGCCTGGGGTGTCCTGGTTCCGTCTGGGACAGAGTTAACTTTCTCCCCAGTAGCTTGGGGGGTGTGCTGTGTTTTGGGTTTGGTATGAAAGGAGCGTTGATGGCCCATT